ATTCCCAAGAGGTTTTATCTGTTCCCTTTCCTGTTTTCCACAGCATTCCAGTTGGCAAACAGCTCTGTCAGCCATTTAATAGTAGGTGATTCTGGAGATCTCTAGGATTACTGCATTACCTGACCCTGTTGCTCTTCAGGTGGCATAAGGTGGGAACACTGATAGTCTCCAAAAAGCCAGGATTTTTTTACCATGACAGTGATAAAACACTGGCACAGGCTGCCCAGAGCAGTGGTGGAATGCTCCGTCCCTGGAGACATTCAAGGCCAGACTGGATGTGGTTCTGGGCAACCTGATCTAGTTGAAGATGCCCCTGCTCATTGCAGGGGTCTGGACTAAATGAGCTTTGAAGGTTCCTTCCAACCCAAACTCTTCTATGATTCTACAACTCTGGTCCCAACCCCTGCCACGGGCAGGGACACCTTCCACTAGAGCAGGTTGCTCCAAGCCCCTGTGTCCAACCTGCCCTTGAACACTGCCAGGGATAGGGCAGCCACAGCTTCTCTGGGCACCCTGTGCCAGCGCCTCAGCACCCTCACAGGGAACAGCTTCTGCCTCAGAGCTCATCTCAGTCTCCCCTCTGGCAGGTTCAAGCCATTCCCCTTGTCCTGTCCCTGCATTCCTCTGTAAAAGTCCCTCTCCAGATTTATTGTTAAATGTTAGAAATGAATTTAAAAGATCTATTCATTTCTTCTGTCTTTACTCATTTAATTCTCTTCAGAAGGGAACACTAGCCAGAGGTACTTTGGCTGCACCCATAGTTTTATTTTAGTCTCATATGCATTATGCATTCATTTATTATGCACTTCTATATGATTCTGCATTATGCACTCATTGCTTATGCATTCCTATATCATTTTCCTATCTTTTTGGCTATGGTTCCATTATGCTAAGTGCCATTCCCGTTTGCAGAAAGCAGGACAGATGTGTTGTTGCATTTTTGGGGCTCTTTCCTCAGATCATTACTTTTACAGAACTCCTTACTCTACCAGGGTGAGAACACATGCTGGAGCTTGCATGCTTATACACTGATGCTAACACCACCAGACACCGATGATTCTTCTTAGTAATGCAGTTCAGCCTGAAAACCAGACATATGGGACTTCTAATTTCTTCTTGCTCATTACTGCAGAGTCGGGGGGAACACCTCCCTGATTTTACTTTGAAGGGTAAGGATCCTTCCTTCCCTCTTGATGAGAGATGTAATTATGTCAGGCTGCAGTAGTGTTTCTGACTCAATCCCTTACCTTATTTTGTTAATAGGAGTTTTTGGCTCTTCAAGTAAACTACTTCTAACAATATGTACCAGAGCAGCTAAAAGAGATCATCCTGTGATGCAGTGCCATGAGATAGGAAGAACCTACCCGACACCTCCCACTGCTTCCTCCGCGTTCCACTTTGTACCAGTTCTGCACTGGCGCCTTTCTACGGAGAGGTTCAACTCAAAAGGAGCAGAACATCCCAACAGCAATGACACAAGTCCACAAAAGGGAAGTGGAAAGTTTAGGGTAGGCAAACAAGCGGGAGTGCTCATAGGAAATGGAGCCAGACCAAGTGACAGCAGGGAGCAACAGGCAGCGAAATCAGGAGGTCGAGGCTTTTTATGCTCTGAATTCTTCAGTTCAGCTGAATGATTGTTTCATGATGAACTTTCTCTCCTGCTCTCACCATGGGATCCATTGCATTCACCTGACCAGGCCTGGAACAATCAAACCAATTCTCTTTCATCGCTCCTGGGGCTCTGACATATTCCCTTTGATCTGGAGGGCTCACTAGTGAACCAGGCAAAGGGAATAAAGCAGAGTGGAGAAGGAGGTATCTTTTTCTATAGGGAAGCTTTGGTCCCACACTGACTTTAGAACTGGATTCATGCTTTGAGGTACAGGCTACTTTGAAGCCTTATATAGGCTTCAAAGCACCTTAAGGGGGAGAGGACAAAAATAGGCTACTCCAGCTTTTAATTCAGTCGGCCTTTAATTTAGTTCTGTAAAAACAAGAGGAATTTATCTTCTTGTTTTGCACAGGGCTATAGATAGTGGAAGAACAAAAAAAACCCATTCTGTCTGTTACTGGTTTCACAAGGCAAACCAACCCATCCTGAAACTCAAACCACCACAGGGAAAGCTGTGTGTTTATTACCCAAACCATCACAGCACTGAAGTTCTGCAGAAAATTCAACTTCCTCCCCCACAAAGCATGAGCTTTATACATCTGCTGGAGAAGTGGAGCCAATCTAAACCCTTGTTGATGTGACTAATAAGGTTAGATAATTGGATTTCTGGCAGATTTAGTTTAACAGCAGCCAACCATTCAATTTGGAAGTTCTCTTTGAAAGCCAGGCTGGACAATGATAATTGGTAGTTGCATGTAGACGACATAATGCAGTACATTACACCGACACATTAAGTATGAAAGCTTGCCTAGCTACTGCTAATACTTACACAAATTATTGTACATCTATTTCTATCACTTAAACATAAAAGAGACAAAAAGAGCCAGAAACCACAGGCCAGGCAGACCCACTTCTGTTCCCAAGGAAACCATAGAGCAAGCCCTCATGGAAGCTCTTTCCTGGTACACAAAGGATGAGAAGGTTACTGGGAAAAGCCAGTATGGATTTACCAAGGGTAAATGGTATCTGACCAACCTGATTGCCTCCTGTGATGAAACTCTCTGCTGAGTGGATGAAGAGCTATGGTTGTCTCAATCTTAGCAATGGGTTTGATAGTCTCCCAAAGCATACTTGTTGATGAGTTGGTACATGGACTGGATGGATAGGTGCAAAAAGTGATCTCAAAGGGTGATGGTTTAATGACCCTGACAGTCTGAAAGACAGCCAACAAGAAACTGTAGTGTTTAAGGAAGAGAAACTTCAAGTCCTGAACCTGGAATAGCATAGTTGCAAGCAGCAGTACAAGATGCTCCGATGGAAAGGACCTGGTGGACAGCAAGCTAGGCATGAAGAAGCAGTGTGCCCCCTCACTGGAGGCAAAATGCATCCTTGATTGCACCAAGTAGACTACAGCTAGAGGATCATCAGCCATATTGCTGAGCCATAGCTGGAATAATGCGCCCAACTTCAGTTCCCCCAGCTCAAGAGAGGCATTGACAAATTGGGGATGTTCTAATGGAGGGCCACCAACACGAGCAGAGCGTTGGAGAACCTGGCCTGAAAAATGGGTGAAAGAACTGGGTTTGTTCAGCCCAGAGAAAAGCAGGTAGTTATAGAAGAGATGGAGTTACCCTGTTTACATGGGTGCACAGTGACAACACAAGCAGCAATAGGCACAAGACAATTCAGGGAAATTCCATCTGGATCTAAGAAGAAAAGACTTAAACATTGCAATAGGTCACCCAGAGAAGTGCTGAAACCTCCCTCACTTGAAATATTCATTACTGAGCTTCACGTGGCCCCAAATACCCCAGTTTAAGCCCAGTTTGGACGAGATGACTTCCCGAGGTCCCATCCAATCTAGACTTCTCTGTAATCCTCTGCTTTTTACAAGCCGTATCTTCATTGCCCAAAGATCAATCTGAGCTACTCAGCAAACTACACAACTACATTATCTGCAAAACTATAAATGGACAGATTGATTATTCCCTGTCAGACCTAACTGTTCGCTCCAAAGGCACTGAAACCCAGTTTATTACTCTGCTCCTGTCACATCAATGCTATGTCCATAAAGAAAGAAGCTATACTGACATCAGAAATACTTGCTGAGTACCTACAATCGAAGACATCTCTGACTTAAGCATGAGGCATTTTTCTTCTCAAAAGACAAAAAGAATGTGTGTGAAATATTTAAGGCATTCATTTATTAAAATCACCCAACTCTTCCCCACAAAGCTGCTTTCCTTCTGTCAAGAAAAATACAGGGTCATAAATTTAGCTATAAAGTTACCCTCGGATTTTTCATGATCCATATAATTGTACAACTAAAAAATGACAAGTAACAAAAGAGAGCATCTGACAGGAAACTGTTTAAATTGCATCCCAGTGAGCATTTCAATCTTTACACTAGCATCAGAGCCAAACATAAGAAGGAATGATGATGCAGTAATTAGATGGATCCAAAACACAGTTCACAACCTTTCTACACACCAGCCAGCACAAAACAAATCAAAGCAATAAAGCTGATGCCATCTCCTTTGCTTAAGTCTCCCCATGCAGATATTCATTTACTCTGGCTACAGATTTATTAAGAGCTGGTTATGAATAATGCTTCACAAAAAAAGTATGGAAAAGGAGAAGATTTTTTCATCCAAGAAAGAAAACTGCCAATAGAAAGGGAATAAAATAAACAAGACTCGTCAAACCTGATTGTAATATTCACAAGGTGATATCCTGAACTGACAGAAATTCCACAGTGTAAATGATCTACATTGCTTATAGCATAACACTTCCTGGCCTAACTAGTCTTATACTCCGTCCGTAAGGCAAAGTCCCTAAGGAAAGAAGGTCAAGTGAATGATGCCAGGGAAGTTTCTTTCACTCCACTTGCCCCTCACAAGTTGATGCTGTCAGGGTAAGATTGTGTGTGCTTATCCAAGGCCTTCCCTCAGCATGTTAAAAGAAAACAGAATCAAAATGCTGTGTTAGTATTTTAGCCTTTGCAGTGCATGTATAGCATAAAGAGTATCAAACTGAGAAGACACCACAAACGAGACACTCTTACAGGTTATAGTTTCTTTTGCCACATTATCAGGCTTCCTCTGTGTCCAATTTAACTCAGAAGCAGGCTCCTTTTCTGAGTCACAGGGACAATTTTAGACATCTGTCTTTGCTCTCCTTTTGTATCATAACAAAAGGTTTCATCTTCTTTATGCAAATTCTTCCTTCCAGGAGAATTTAGAACCAGCAAGTGACACCTCTATGGCCATTCAACAGTTATACAAAATAAGCAGATCCATAATTATATTCAATAACTAATTCTTATGTTTTGTCAAAGAACAAGTGAATCTCTCTTACAAACTTTAGGTACCTGTAGCTTACTACTTACCATCTGGAAGCTTCTTGTAGAATGGAATTCACACTGCATCATGTCAAAGAAGATTGGGATTGTAGCTTTCCGGAGCTCGGTTTCAGGGATGAGCGTCATTTCTAAGATAGGTCCCACCATTTCTGGGATGAACTTGATTTTATGCTGACCTTTAAGAGAAAAGATGCATTTCTGAGTTAATGAACAGCCACTTTGGTAGAAGACAACAGTTACAAGAGCTGTATCAGTAAGTATAGCATTAGAATGTATTTTTCAAGATCTGACTGCTGCACCACCTACTATTATTTATGCCATAAGAGGGGAAGTACGTAGTATGTATAAATCCAAATTAACATTAGTTGTTGGATCCACAGTCAAGCTGGAACTGTCGGATTTTCCACGAAGAACCCACATTTACACACTTATATTAAGCTTCAAGGGGTTTTATTAAATACAGCTTCTGGTTGGCAGAGAAAGAAGCTAAAAGGCATCACTTGTATTAACTAATTTAGACGTCTGTATCTTCCAGAGCGTACAAAATGTTCTCTGTGTCACTCCATCAAAGCGTCACCACGAGTGCATACTTACACAGCCTCGAGACATGAAACTACGTCTTACCAAGCCGACAACACATCATCTTCCTTTGAGAGCAAACTTGATTTTACATTTATCTTCCCAAGAGGAACCTACAGCTCACCTGACCCTCCCTGTTACACTCTCTGTGCCTGGAATAGAAATCAAACCTTAGCAGGATCATGGCACCTAATAAATACCAGGCTCGTTAAAAACATACAAATACTGTTCATACTATTATCCAAAGGGGAGAGAATGCAGATTATATGCTAATCTATCTGCTAAATAACTCCATGGAAAGATGCTGGGGTAGAGCAGTGCAGCACAGCACTGGAGAGTCATGGAATCAACCAGGTTGGAAAACACCTTTAAGATCATCAAGTTCAACTGTTCCCCAGCACTGCCAAGGCCACCACTAAACCATGTCGCTAAGGGCCTTGTCTACATGGGCAGAGGACTTGATGGCAGAAGGTTAGAAATTACAACTGCATTCCCCTCCCAGCACCAGGCTGGGATCCATATGGACTTCACCACACAATTGGTGAACTCACAAATGCAGAGTCAATGGGTGTGCACGGTCAGGCTCATACACTGCCCATGCATCCACCGCTGTGGTTCAGACCAGGCTTCCTGAGAACTGAGCTAATTTAAGGAGCCCTCAGCTCCCTCCGTGCTGACTCCTGTTTCCCAGTGCACTTCCCAGTGGTATAGGCCAGAAACAGACTTTAAGTCATTTATATTCCATTGCACTACACCAGTGCGGCAGCAACCATGGAAGTCTAATTAGTAGTCTCACTTCTGACCAGAACTAACATAAATCTCAAGAAATGTAATCAAGAAGAAATCCTTTCCTAACAAAACATGCTACTTTTTTCTAGAAGAAATAATTTGAGTTACTTGATTTGGCAAACTTCAGAATCCTATTAGCATTAGCAATCCTATTAGGGCAAATTAATACTCAACTAAAACTGCTACTTTGCATGATGCTGCAATGCTGGTTATTGGGGAGGAATATCAAGTGAGAAGTATAAAGCTTTTCCCTGTCTCTTTAACAAGTGTCATTACATTCGGCCTCTCAGGTGACAGTTTTCTTGTCTTATGCCTGAAAAGTGTCAGAGTCAGTGCTCCAGAGAACAAATAATAGTGACAAAAGTTGTTTATCAGGCACAACTTTCATGTCACAAAGCTCTGTGTGTCACGGTGGGTTTTCCATTGCTTCAAGCGCAGGGATTCCCTCAAAACAGTAAATAACATCTTCTGACCTTGAGACGAGAAAAACAGTGAGATCCCAAAAGATTCTTTTTAAAGCTTTTATCCCATTTCCTTTTCTCCAGGGGCATATAAACTTCTGGTTCAAAAAGGGAGGCAGAGAAGACCTGCATTCACAAGAAGTGACAGGTCCTGCACCCAGAAAGGGGCAATCTCCAGCACGAACACAGGCTGGGGGAGACTCGATGGAGCAG